ACTTAGCGACCGTTGCAGCATCCTCATGGTCACGTTACAGATTCGTATTTATGCTGGTTTCAGCGTCCTGGGGTGACCTTTTGACAAAAAAAAATTTTTTAATCAAGCCCCCCCCCCCCCCCCCCCCCCGGTAAAGGGTGTCCCTCTTTTCCAATCTGAAAATCTGGTCACCTTAGATAAGGTGCATGTGGATAAACATTCTTCTGAAAGACTGTTTGATAAGCCTGACTGAATGAAAGGAATTCACAGTCATGTCAATAAAAGAGGTTTTATTGGGACTAAGACTTTGCTTCTTGCTTTCTAAGGAAGCCTGGGTCAGAACAAAAGGTTTATAACACGGGGATAAAACTCACTTAAGAAATGTCTCACTTAGAAACAGAAAGTTTGGGCCCAATTGTGGTCATAAGTCCTTTAAAAATGGTGATTTATATAGCTGCAAGTCCTTGGTCACCGTGATACCAGGAACTCCTCTTATGCCAAGCTGAAATTGTGTCTTTATCTGCTAGTTCTGAGTCAACAACCAGTAGGGCTTCTCCCCTAGCCACCAATATGCACATGAGTGTGTTCCACAAAAGTTCCTTGCTATGGAGGAAATTAAAACAATGGTTTGCAGTTCGTTTTCTGGTGGTAGCAACCTGGCTCCTTTATAGTGAGTACTTCTTCAAGTATTGTTTGGTCTTCTTCTCCTCCTTCCAGATCTGCACATTGCTGAAGTGCGGAAGTACGGACCTTCAGAGCTGTGGTCAGGCAACCAAGACTGCTGAATCCTATTTTGACTTCTATTCTCTCAGTGGCACATTTGGCACTAATTACGTCTTCCCGGAGGTTTTACTCAGTGGGATTTCTTTGGCCCCTGGATTGTTTCAGGTAAGGTTAAAAAAAATAATTATAATTTTATTAAATTTGTCAAAGTCTAACAAAGACGTGAAAATGAAAGTACTGGGACACTGGAGGAGGGAAAGGAGGAAAGGAAAAAGTAGGGGATAAAGGGAAAAAGAAGAAGAAAAGCATTGACTTCTGACACTGTTTAGCATAGCAGAATAACATAATAATATGACAGCCTCAACCTCTTACATTTATTTCTATGGAGATTCTCATCCATCCAGGTCATGGTTGTCCCAAAGGTGCTTTTTCAAGAGGCAACTGGACTTTCTTTCCTTTTTTCTTTTTTTTATTTTAAACACATAAACACATAGACAGAACACAACATAGATTAAAACAACAAAGGAAGAAAAGGTTCCATCCTACAGCAGTTCCATATCCGTATGTCTTTACAATTGATGTTTCCCCCCTATACATTCATATCTTACATTCCTGGTCCCCTTGTTCTTTAATGGTTTATGTATACTATTCCATACTTATTTATATTTAACTGTTTGTATCAGAATATCACTTTACAGATATTGCACCTTATATACTTGCTATTGTTTAACTACTATAGCTTCACATATGTTAACTCTCTCTTATCTTTTCTTATACTATATCCTAACATTTCCACAACACTATTTATATGTTTCCCTACTTCTTGTTTCTGTCTTCTAACCCTTTATACCATTTATTCCATGTTAAATAATATTCCGATTCCTCCTTTTCTTGAATTTCTTTCATCAGCTTGTCCATCTCCGCACACACTAAGATTTTTCTTATCACCTCATCTTCCTTTGGTATTACATTGTTTTTCCATTATCTGGCTGCGGTTATGATATGAAGGATTAGGTATTGTATTTCTCTACTGTACTTTTTTGTAATTATACCCAATAGAAATAGTTCCGGTTTCCAATTTATTTAATTTCCTGTTATTTCTTCAAGTCACTTTTTAATTTTGGTCCAGTATTTTTTTGCCATCTCGCATGTCCGCCATAGATGATAATATGTCCCATGTGATTTTTTGCACTTCCAGCAGATCGGCGATAATCTTGGGAACATCTTTGCAAGCCACTCTGGGGAGAGGTGCCATCTGTAAAATATCTTGTACTGGTTTTCCTTGTATGCCGCAAACATAGTCAGTTTCAAGTTTGTTTCCCAAAATTTTCCCATTTTTCCTGATCTATACTATAACCAAACATTTTGCCCACCTTAACATTGTTTTTTTTATGACTTCATCTTCCATTTTATACTTCAGCAAGAATTTATATATTTTCCTAATCAATTTTTTATCCGTACTTTGCAATATCTTGTCTAGTTCCTGTTGCTCCTTCTGAAACTCACACATTTTAATATCACTGTTATATCTGGACTGAATTTGTATATATGTGAGCCAATCTATATTTATGCCCTGGTCTTTTAGTTCTTGTTTGGTTTTCGGTTACCCTGTTCTTTTATTAAATCCTTGTATCTTATACTTTATATCTGTAAAATTTGTGTGTTTCAGTGCTTCTGTTGTGCATAACCACAATAGTCAGGCAACTGGACTTTCAGGTTTTTCTTTGAAGACATCTTTGAAAGCTTGTCCAAAAAGCTTATTCAGCTCTGACCCACCATCCAGACAGAGTGAAGAAGCTTCTTGGATGAAAAGCAAAACATCTTCAAAGAAAAACCAGTTGCCTCTTGGAAAAAGCACCTTTGGCACCATTACCTTTACATACTTAATGTTTCTATAACAACAAACAAAACCAAAGTTTAAGATTTTCATTTTTTTCTCATCTCAAAACAACATCCAGAAGCATTTTTCAAGTAGAAAGAAAGTGGAATGCATACTTTTCTTCGATTAGAGCAGTTAATTTAGCCACCTCTGCTAGTGCCATCAGTTTTCCTGCCATTCGTTGCCATTGTGAGAATTAATGTATCTTTCCTTGTGTGTGCGTAAATCATTCTGGCTGCTGTCAAAGAGCAAATTTCCAGATCTTTTTCAAGTTATTTTGTCCATTAAACCCAAAAGTTCCTGATTTAATTTTTTTATATTCACTTTAAAAATCTTAAAATATGAATTGTACCCCAGTATTTCCCATCTTAACTACACAAATATTGTTAGGAACCAAATTGGGCTTGAATAGGAGAAGCACAGAAACAAATCCCTTAATAAGGCTCAGAAGGAGAAGATGTTTTGGTCACTTTTTGGAAGCCAAAATTGAATTGTGAGAAAAATGAGGTTTCTCATTGTGTTGTTTTTTACTTGAGTGCCTTGCTTGATCTATGAGTTTGGGTGGAGGCCACACCACATTGTTACATGGGTTACACTCAGGGGTGGGCTGCTACAGGTTCAGCTGGGTTTGGGAGAACCTGTAGCAAACATTATGGCCTGTTTGGAAAATCTCCAAATCCTAGCCCTGATTGGCCCCACCCTGCCCAACCCTATCAAGAGTCTCCACATTGCCCGTTTTGGATGCGAAGTAAGTGCAGGGTCTGTGCGGAGGCTTGGGGTGGGGGTGGGGAAACCAGCCTCCTGGAAGTTCCAGAAGCTTCCCCCCCCACCCCGAGTTCCATTTTCACTGGCAGAGGGCTGCAGGAGGCCATCCTGGTTGAAAACAGAGCCTGGGAGGGCTGTGCCTGGCCCTCCCAAGCTCCAATTTCACTGGCAGAGGCACTGTGGGCTGGTCCTTAGCTGTTTCCAGGGCAGCTCTGTGGGCCAGATCTAAGCACCACACGGGCCAGATCTGACCCATGAGCCTTGAGTTTGACACCCTAATATACACTTATTAGCAGTGGCTCTCACAGTTGGGAGTTTTTCCCAACCTTATTGAAATATGTGGGTAGTCACCCTGGGATCTTCTCTATACTATGTTATAAGAACTACATCTCCTCTTAATCTACTACTTTGAAAATTTCTTAACTTGGGAGATAGGAGAGATGTATACCTAGCTTATTGTATTACTCAAATTCTTTCATTCATTCCTAGGTTTTGAAAGATGGACAACTGGTCAGTCAGAACGATCTCCCTCAGGCCGTTTTAACTGTGACACTTTTTGGAAGATGGTATGAGAAGGATTCTCCATCTACACCCATTAACAATGCAACCCTAGCACCAATGCAATGCACCAATAAGGCTGAATTCATTATTCAATAAATCAGTTGCTTTATACCTTTACTGTTTCCATTGTCATTTATCATCCAGTAATGGATAACTCAACTGAAGAACTACCGTATGTCTTGACAATGGATATATTGATGCTATGTTTAAAGTTGGTGACAAATCCTAAGGAATACAATCTCTTGAATGTTGTCCTAAAAAAGATGCAACAAGGTAATAGTTACTGATTAGGCTCTTTTTACAAGGTTCTTGGAAGAAAAACAGTTTGATATATGAATCATCTTCCGGTAGAGCTGCCTACTACGTATTAGAGCAGGTATTTGATGCCACTTTAAAATACAACAGATTCAGGTTGTGCCAACTCCATCTTATCTCTTAACTCCTCATTTCAGATAGACACCTAGAAATGACCCAACCTGTTCCCCATTTGTTCTGGGGATAATTTAGCAAGAATCAGTCCTCTACTCATAAGGAACCAGAAAACCAGACTTCTGTTTTTTTATAATCAAGAATGAGAAAAACTCAAACTTCTATAAAGACTGTTTGTCACTAATTTTCAACTAGGAAGTCAACTGGGTTGAATTATTGAGCCTGTCTGAGATTGTAATATGAATTATGCCAACTTTTAATTAAAAAGTATAATCCATGCATGCTAGTCAAAACTCACATAGTTGACTGTAGCCTTCACCCCACCCCTTGTCAGGTGCTCTTTATTTCAGGCTATTTTAAAAATAAGATGTCCTAGAGAATAGAGAAATTTTATGTCTGTAAGAGTCAAAAATGTGTAATTTCAATTTAGACAATCAATTGGGTTCTCAGATATTAGGAATTTCTAAGTTGACATGAGTAATACTTTTGGTTGTATGATAATTAATATGGCTATGCAGAAAAGGAAACTAAATATGAATGAAAAAGTATGCCTAGAGAATATATGCCTAGAGAATATAAATGTTAACTAAGACATCATGTAAACTTCAGATTGAGCAAGAGAGAGCGAGAGAAAGAAAGTGTGAGAGAGATAGGGAGGCAGGGGGAAAGATAGAGAAGGGGATTCTTAGAAAATGAAGGATCAACAAAAATGGAGAGTGATAAGTTAGCATTCTGCAAACAAATACTTTACTTATGGGCAAAATAATTCATAGAATCTAATGAAATGGGAGAAAATATTCTAGCATTTGAATTTTTTGGTAATAACAAATGGCAGGATATGGCAAAGAAGCAAAAATGTTATTATAGCCTTAGACTTAGTTCTTTAGACTCAGGCTATGCATCCCTTGAGAATCTAGACGATGTAAATTGACGCTTCCTGTTTGGAAAATGGGAGTCATTCTTGACTAAGATAAAAATTCCATCAGATGGGGAAATTTAGACATGTTGCTTTTCTTTTGTGTTACAGTGTGCCGTGTTGGTGATAAGTAACAGTCTTAGATTTGGAAATCAATGGTGTGTCCATTTTATATGCTAAGACAGATCATTGATGTGATTGAGGGAGCTGAACTTTGAAACCCAGTCTGATATTGATCTGATTGAAGTTGCTATCCATGTCTGCCTGTATTTCAAATATTGCCCTTGAGTGATCCTTAACCAGCTGTCATTGCTGGGCATTGCTATAAACCACCCTTCCCACGACCAAATAAATATTCCCTTTGTAATTTGACAGAAGAATGCTATTTTGTTACAGTCAACATTGTTTTAAAATGGATTGAAAACCCACACACACACACACACACACACACACACACACACACAC